CAGGCTCTAGGTAAGAGATGAATGAGGAGCAGAGTGAGTGGTGCAGGGATGACGTGTATTTGTAGTCCAATCTAGGAGTTAGAATAGCAAGGCTCCCAGGAAAAGTGGGACATTGTCTGATTGGATTTTGGAATATAGTGCCTGACAATGTCATGTGACGTGTGCTTTTATATAAATATGCCTCCCTGTTTTACCAGCTACTGTGTCTTCACTTGTGTGGTGAACATGAGCTACATGGTCTACTTCAACTTCTTCTGCTGTCTCCTGGTGCCACTGCTGGCCATGTTCATCATTTACGGCCACATCTTCCTCACCATCCGACGGCAACTCAAACGCATCGCTGTAGCCAGGGGGTCTTCAGAGAACACGAGAACTGCTGGTAGTGGGAGCACCGGGACCGAGGACAGTGGGAGTTCTGCTGCTTGGGGACACGACACAGGGGATAGATTCAGTAGACAAGCTAAAGAAAAGGCGGGAAAATGCAAGACTGAAGTGAGGGCTGTGGAGGAAGTGCAATCCAGCGTTGGTTCTCTTATTGACACTGAGACCACCGCTGTGTTTACAAATCCAGGACTCAGGTCGGCCTCGTCTGGGTCCAGCAGCTCCAGCTGTGGTGCGGCTGACCCCCGGCCAGGCGAGCCAAACGAGGTCAGATCAGGCCTCCGCTCCCGCCAGGAGGTGCGCAAAGCCACCTCCCTCTTCCTGGTCCTGTTTCTGTTCATGGTGTGCTGGATGCCCATCCACATCATAAACTGCGTGCTGCTGCTGTGCCCACAGTGCCAGGTGCCCATGTCGCTCACACTAGCGGCCGTTCTGCTCTCCCACGCCAACTCCGCTCTCAACCCCATCCTGTATGCGTACAGGATGAGGTCATTCCGACACACTCTGATTAGGATGTGGAGAGCATTGAGGAGCTTTAGGCTGAAACGCCAGTAAAGGTGTGGTTCTTTAGCAATTATTGTTTAAAAACGTGTTTTGCTGTCTGAGTTCAGAGGATTTATTGGAGTTTTTGTACAAATATTATCTATTAAAAACAAATAACGTCTTATTTGACTATCATAAATATTGCTTACATGGCACATAAGGAATATAAGTGGTTTCTATGTAATAGTTGAATAAATTGATTTTATATTATATAAATTGCACTAGCCACTTTCTGGTAGATTTTGAGGTTGTTTTAAAAATACAAAATGCATTTATTGTACCGTGCCCATTCCGCAAAAAATAAACACAATACACAGAGAATCAAATCAACATAACTGCGTGCTTTATTGATATACAGTAAAGCATTTTATAATACAGTAGTAAGGCATATATTTGGTGGAATCTGATATGTTGTGAAGTATTGAACTGTGTTATTTAAAAAATGATGCGAGAATGAAACACAAACGTTAGACATGAAAAATAAATCGAATTCAGTGTCTGGATCAGAACGAAAGCCTCTTAGATCATGCCGCGAGAATATGACGCCAAAAACAAACGAGTGTATGAAGCCGCGCGACTTCTGAGTGGTTACACATTAAAGAAGGATGAGCTGTATATAGTCACACATGCTAATATTGAACACCTCACACGGCACCAAACAAAATAGCTTTTTAACCGAGGACAAAAAGACACTAAAATGAAAGCATCCTCCACACAGAAAACACATATCTAGTATGTCCCAGGTCTGACAGTAGTGCACACTGATTCATTTGTGTGTGAAATGTTTTGAAACTGGTCGTAAAGCTCTGATAGAGATGCATCGGAACATTCAGATTGGAGGCTCTACAGTGAATCAGAAATAACTAATAAATAATAATCTGAAAGGTGTTGAGAGTGCATTAGAAAAAATGCCGGGCTTTGATAATTTAGACGAGGTAGAGCTTACTGGGCCTCCTAAAATATGTCTCTGTTAGTGTTCAGACGGAAGAATTCCTTTAAAATAATCTCAGCTAGCAGCCTTGCAGATTTAAAATCACATTCGTCTTACAGTACTCCAGTCAGCTTAGAAACCAACACTCAAGAGTACCGCGGGTCCTCAAGCGGCCCTAAAGAGACACTCAGAGAACATCGTAGAGATAAAAGATGTACCAGTGCAATAATCAGGACGTCTTTCTGAAGGACTGTGTCCAGGCCTGATTCAGAACTGATGATGAATGTCAGTTTGGATATAAAAGATGTAGCTTCCTTTTCCCCTACAAAAAAGTTGCATTATGGGAAATGTATGAGTCAGTGTGTTTAAAGCTGGACACATATCAGCGTAACAAATTGACTTCAGCTGCAGCTTTTTCCCCAAATTTGGGGTAAAGTATCATTTATATTAAGTTTGAAAATGATGCATTTTAATAATATGTTAATTAAAGATGAATCACATAGTACAAAAATCTAAATAAAATGTATATTTGTTTCCGTAGGGATGCCGCACTCTAGGACTATCTGGTGCTTAAGAGAAAAATAATCTGAGTAAAATCTAAATGATGTCTAATTCTTGCCCAATATGTGCATTAGGTATGTAGTGACGTGTCTCAGTTCTGAATCAGGCCAATTCCAACATCTGTCTACACTGATAAAGACGAATTCAGGTATAAAAACTTTTGTAAATCATAGGAATTATGAACTCACTGATGGATGGAGCGACGGACGGACGAATGCATGATTCAAACATGGGGTTTGTCAGCCAAAGCAACGTCAAAGCTGTAATGCAATGTGGAAATTAGGCACCACCACACACACACGCACGCACACACACTCACACTCACACACAGACAACGCACTGTAAAGATCCAGGATGCCTGCATTACCTTGACAGTAGTGTACGCTGTTATAGAAATTCATTTTCCTCTTAGAAAGCACCCTTATGATTACAATCATTCTTTTTCTTTTTTGATACAAATGTCTGAAATGCTTTAGCCGTTTCCCCAATTACAAAAAGATGGCCACACTAAACACACTGATTTGTATCTCTCTTTGCACCCACCCCCCCTCTTTTTTTTTATACAATTGCATAGAAGTTTAAAAACCAGCCTCTGTTATTAATAAAACAACTTCAGGACGTTTTAAGAAACTACTTAAATCTACAAGGTATAATGTTTTTCTTTTGTTTGTTTTTTAACGTTGCTGGAACCGCGATCCTTCACAAAAATAGACGTTTATATATTCTCTTTGTAAACTGTGTTTCCAATCCAGTTGTTTGACTAGAAAAAGCATGCGATAGGTAGGAAAGGAGGGGAGGAAAGGAAGGGGGGAGGATAAAGGGGGGGTCAGAAGGGCAGGGCCTCGTGCTGTTCGGCGCTCTGCTCGTCTGTCATCAGGCTGACCAGCGACTCCATGGCCCGGCCCACACCGTCGGCCATGTGGAACAAACTGCCGACACCTGGACCTGGAGAGAGACCAAACACAATCAGAAACACTGACTAACACCGCAAAGGTGACACAAGAAGCTGAAAACGGCTGGTATGGGTGATACTTGTAGATTCAAATGAAGAAACGTCAGCAGAAGTATAAACATTTTAATGGTGTAGCTCCTAAATGTCCTTAACGAGGCACCAGGAAGTGACTCTAACATGGGAGAAAGCCCAATGTCCAGCTCATCATTTCATTTAATGATTTAAAGTTAAACATAAAATAAAATGGCTTCACCTTCCCTTTTGCCCTTGTAAAAAAAACATGTCTTCCATCTGTCTTCCAATAAATAACAAATCCCCTGGTGCCTGAAGCTGCTTTCAAAATAAAAGCATCAACTCAATAATGACTATTAGATATTACAAAAGAATGAATAGCTTCAACACATGGGTTTACTATCTATTTGTTCTATATGGTTGATAATATGTATATCAAACTTCCTCTTGCATATATTTTGCTTCAAGTACAAAAGGTCCTGGTTCCATTTCTGTGGACGCTCATATTTTAAACAGATTAAACAAATCAATGTAGTGAAACGTGTGGTTATGAGGCTACACTGAGAGCACAGAGACAATGGACTGCACAGCAAAATAAACATGTGACAGTAACTAAACTTACATTGTGGAGATATTCTAATGTCCTGTTCTATATGAGACGTTAGTGGAAGCCACCATTCGAACAAAAATATGATGAATGCCTTGCATGTTATTGTAAACCCCCACATTGTGAACTGATGTGTGACATTAATACATCCCCTCATTCCAGATCTACATGTTGACACACACACACACACACACACACACACACACACACACACACACACACACACACACGCCATAATTCCCGGGCACACTTCCCGCTCACCACCTGCAATGGAAACTGAGTCTTCACACACTGGCTGTCAAATCCTTTTTTCTGGCCAAATTAGATACTTGATTCTCTTTTTACAATTTTGTACCAGCTGCTGCACATCAGTGTAAACAGAGAGAGCAATCTATTGATCAAGGTTTCAAAATTTAAATATAGACAAGTACAAATCTTTCACGATTATTCCTACTTTTAAAAAAAACTTGAGCCTTACTACATTGATTTGACTTTAACATGCTTTTAAATGTAAATGCTCATGAGGGCTTTAAATGCAGAAACTGAGCCTGTCTTAAATATTTATTATATATATATATATAGAGTGACAGACCGGCTGGTCCCGTCACCATGGTGTCACCGTGGTGCCCGTCTCTGCCCAGGAATCTGCATCAGCTTGTCTCCCTGGCAGCAGATTGGCTCTGTGTGTCACCCCCGGTAACAATCACTGTCTGACATCCAGCATGGCTGCCCCTGGGTTTATATTGAGACCAATGGAGGCACACCCTGCACTGCCTTTGATCAGCAATACATGCGGTGTGTGTGTATTCCTGTCAAGCATTGGATTTTGTCGCATGTTAAAGTGTTGTGCATGTTTGTGGTAGAAGAGATATATAAGTATATACTCAGTATTTGCCCTAGCGAGAAACACAAACGCAATATTTGCAATTCATCACGGCAGGGGGTTTCCTTTTAGGCTCAGACCTGGCAAGGCCACAGCAGGAGGGGGGGGGTGGGGTGGCTTTGTCTTTTACCTGGAGCAGCTTCCAGCGCGTGTTCAGATCTTTGATACGTTCCAGGTTGCTAGGCGACAGCTGGATGTCGTGTGGACCGAATGTGGACGCCAACTGGTTCATGTGTACGACGTCGTCCTTGATGGGAGCGATCTCTTCCTGGAACTCCTGCAAAACAAACTCACACGATGGTGAGAGGACAGTTGGGACACAGACAGGTTGTTAGAAGACACCGGTTCAGTCTCACCTCAACAGCTCTAACAGTGAGAAACAGATGCCTCCATTATGTAAACTCAACTCTGCTGCTTGTTTAATGCTTCTGATGTGTGTTACACTGACAGGTCGAAGTACGATGCATGCAACATCACTACCAGTGTAACATTAAAGCAGACATATCATTAGAAAACTTGTTCAGTGCTTATGCATGTGTTGATAACTTCCTTTTCAATTTTTTCTCACTAGCCAATCAGATCAGACTTTTCCACAGGCTCTTAAACGAATTTCAGGCAAAGAGATAAAATTGGCATATTAAGATGATCAGTAGGAAAAAAGATTAAACATTAAAGCATGCAAACATACTCTGGCAGAAATCCAACAACCAAATATTAACAGGAAAATGATCATAATGTGTTTAATTCCTTTAATGGTTGATTCTGAAAAGGTTGTCTACATGTTCCTAAATGTTTCATTTAAAGGCACCCCATCTGACCTTGACTCTCTCGATGTGCTCCGGCAGGGAGTCGATCAGCAGGTCGCCCACAGGTTCCCACGCCTCCCTCACCATCTCGGCCTGCCTCAGCTGTCCGTCCAGCAGGTCCTCGGCCTCCTGGAGGTCCATCAACCGCTCCAGGGCCAGCTCCAGCCTCCTCTGCCAGTCGGCCCAGTCGATGTTCAGCCGGTCCCACTTGGTCACCACGTCGTCTGCCTCTTTGCGGAGGATTCGCCCCACGTTCTGAGCACGCTCCTCCGGGCTGATGTCTGAGGGAAAGAACATGTCTTCCATCATATGCGCAGATTAGTATGTAATGTCCACTTCACTTTTACCAACAACTGCGGGGAAAGGCATGTCCCAAAGAGGAGAAAATGATCATCATTCCATATCAGAAAAAAGCACCTGCAGTTTGCATTTGATGTCTTTACTTATTCACACTTTTAACTCAGTTTGAGATGTCGCTTTGTGTTTAAAAGCCTCTCTTACAGCATAAACATTAACTGTGACAATAAAGGCAAGCTCCTGAGAGAGCGCCTCATTCATATGTCAAAGCACTCAGTCTTTTTTTGGAGACACTGGTTATCTTTAAGGAAATTAAACCAAGCAAAATGTCATATACTCTAAAGCGCTGTGTCAATGCAGCTTTTTCAGATGTCCCCAAACGCTGCCGATGTGAAGGTCAGATCGCAGAGTCTGGAATACTTTCTAAAAAGGGAGTAAGTGCTTGTTTCCATTCAGTGATTAGCAGCTGGAGTTCATTCTTTCTTTCTGTGTACTCTGAGTGTTTTTGAGTTGCTGGTTGAATGGGTTTAATGGACCACAGTTAAAGTTCAGCTGTTTTCTGCAAGCCTGGTAACCGGGCTGCTGCCATGGTGTAGAGGGTGCTGCGGGGAAGTGTGTGTGTGTGTGTGTGTGTGTGTGTGTGTGTGTGTGTGTGTGTGTGTGTGTGTGTATTAACCCCTGTTTGTTACCAGGCTGTTGCTAGGGTCCAAAGTTCACTATGTGAGTCAGAGATGAAAAGAAAAGGAGCTTTATGTCTTGAGAAGAGACAGATCTGTTAAATTCACTTCCTGTTTGCCTTTCATATGGTGGCCCTGAAGGTCACATTTGTATGTGTTGTTCCAAATGTTTGTGTTTGTGAGGTTTTTTTTTGTGTGTTTTCTGACATTTTGTTGTGTTTTCTAAAATGTAATTCCGTTTTCTGAAACGTGTTGTGTTTTCTGAAATGTTTTAGGGTTTTTTTAGATGTTTTTTTGTGTTCTCTAATTTCCAAAATTTCCCCCGAGATGAATTATTTCATATTCTGATTAAGAGGTTTGTGTTTTCTGAATAAATGTTCTTGAGTTTTGATCTTCAAGGCCACCATACTTTAATGTAGGACTTGAAGTGTTGCAGTCCATCAAGGCGTTGCCCTGGTAATAAATTAGCAATTCCCTGTGTTTTCTAAATGAAATGGGAATACGTTAGTTATAATAGCCTAACCTAGAAAGAGCTTGTCCTGCTTACAATGCTTACATTCTTAATCCGTACATCCAACTTAAAAAAATCAAACATCGAAACAAGTCTGAAGGACTGAAATAGGACAATGTAACCACTGTTAGAAAAATGGAAGGAAAGCTTCTATGCAGACTTGTCCGGATTGAATCCTTTTTAGAATGTGTGTGTTACCTCTCTGCTCAGGTGAGGGTGTTTCACGGGGCAGCTCAGACAGGAAGACCCCCACATCGTCCAGAGCTTTGGTCACAACTGGCTCTTTGGCTCTCAGTTCCCTCCTTAAACCCTGAGAACACACGCCGAATGTACACACAACTTATTATCTGCATCAATAACAGGTTATAAAGAAAGGTTGGGAGTGATATACTGAAGTAGTTGTGTTTCTGCCTGGTCGTTTAGGCATTCATGAGCTTGGGTCCCTGGGACATTTACATTTTTAGGTCCCAAGATAAAATAGCTTTAGAACACCTGCTGCAGAAATGCAAAAACAGCTTTGGGAGTCAACACATCAGTGCAAGATGTAGCGAGTGCTTTACATAATTATGATAGAAGACACGTTTAAAAGGTTGTTAGAAATGTTGCATGTACGCCATGTGTGGTTAGATTAACGCACAAACATCACTAATGCTAGATTTAAATGTCTTTGTGCCCGAATAGCCCCTCAAGCTGAAACATTTCTCCATTTATTATGAAATACTTTGACTAAAAGCCTTTTCCTAATGCTTATAAGCATGCACTCACCATTTGGCAGACTCATTGTAGTTTTATACATGAAATGACCAAATCAGCAAACTCAATCATCTCGCTTTTTGCATAAAACGCTGCACAAAATGGGTTTTTCATTTGACTATGCTTCCCATTTATTCTGACAATTAGATTTGCATAATGGTGGTCAGAGAGACAGGAAGTCTACCTCATATGTAAATGGCTGCTTTTGCAATGAGACCACTAAACTTTCAGGAAAATAAAAGCCAAAAATGTCCTGTATGTAAGACCCCCAGTTTGATCTACCCTGCCTGATTCAAAGTAAAAAGAATAACTACAAATTATGTCATTTTGTGTTAATCCTACGGTGGCCAAACAGCATAAAAACGACATCTATGTTGTTTTGTACACATTGTTAGTAAAAAAAGCAACAACTTCATGAACATTCAACAACCTCCGGAATCAGCAGAATGTTAGCTTTTCAACAAAAAGCTGCAGAGACAAGCAGCGTGTCTGTTTGTGTCCCACGTAGAGTGTGTGTCCTCCTACCCGGTTAGTGTCCAGCTGTGTCTGCACGGTGGGCACGTCGCCCCCTACAGGTGGTTCCTTCTCCAGCTGTTGACTTTTCAGCCTCAGCCAGTTCAGCAGCTCCTGGAGCGACATGTGGAGCCTCTTCCACGGGGCCATCTCTGAGTCCAGATGGGCCCTTGAAACACACACAGGCTTTTTTCTGTTTCTCGTACTTCATAGGAACTCCATGATTTTGCAGTAAAGGCTGATCCCCTCCTCACCTCATGCTGAGGGTCTTGTTGCGCAGGTCGTTCCAGCGCTGCGTCATGTTGTCCAGGCGTCTCTGGAGCAGGGCCCCGTCCCCAGAGTCCCGCAGCGAGCTCACGATCCTCTGGCCGTTCTCATCCAGGGAGTGGTACATCTCTGTGTGGCCGTCAATCTCTGCCTCCAGCTCCTGGCCACACAAAGCATGAGTCAGGGGGGAAAAGATAGTAGTGTAGTAGTAAATACCTCCCTGGTAATAGCAGCAACCTTTCTTGAATTAGAGATGAGTAATGGCTTCAGAAAGAGTGATTTACAGCCATCAGAAATGGAACGTTTTGTAGCACGTAAATGTCAAAATGCGTTAATCAGTGAGCGGTGGTCTAACCTGTGTGTACATCTTTCAGAGAAATGATGCATTAAGGAAACTTTTGATGCATCTTAAAAAGACTCCTGAAAGGGAAAAGGTACTTTAAACCAATCTTAGCAGAGTGAAAAGGGAATAAAGCTGAACTTCTGTGAACACTTCCTGTTTGGTTTGTGCAATTTCCCTTTAATATGGCTGGCATTTAGCTTTACCATTGAATTACATTATGCTAAGTAAAGTAAAAAGTATTGGAATCAAGTGCCAAGTTTTAAGGAATAGTTTATATATTAGTTTAAATATACACTTGTATTTTAATTTCTAAAACACTAACATCGACAGATCCATTGATCTTCCAGTATTCATTTAACTTTGTGTCGTCAATAAGCATGTAAGTTTCTCTCATTTGATTCAACACTATAACAGGCCATATGGTCCAACAAGCGGTTAAACCATTGTTTTTGGTATAAATAAACTGTAATTTAATAATGATCTTAAAAACAATAAAAACAACCGTTCTTTAGGGGTGTCTTTGGGAAAAATGAGATACTGGAGGGGACTTATACAACTCGAATAAAACAAAAAATGTTTTATTAAGAACATTACTTTTTATTTATTTATTTGTTAGGTTGGTTATAGTGGGAGCCTCAGTGCCATCTCAGAATTCTGACTTTAATCTCTCAAATCTGACTTAAATTTTAAAACAAAATTCAGACATCACGTGGCACTTCCTCTCCCGTATGTGTGCTAATGTTGTTATTGAATCTAAACGCCACATCACAAACACTCAACAATTAGCTTAGCTTAATATACTGATTTACTTTCGATTGATGACACATTCTTCCATATAAACATTTAGGAATACAAGGCTTATTTGCAAAAGACCAGCGCTTGATTTTCTTTCCCAACCTGAACATTGTAGACCTTCCTGCGCAGCATCCTCAAAACTTTACTCCCAGAACTAGACGTGAAGAACAAGAGGCGTCATCTTCTGCTTCCTAGTCCCTCAAGATTAGCTCCCAATGTGGAAGCATAAGTGTTTAAATGTGCGCGTGTGACAAAGAGATTTGGAGATGAAGAGGAAGGGAGGGAGAGTTAGTTAAGAACAGGGAGACAGATGGAGAGAAGAGGAGGAGAGAACTTGAAAGGAGGCATAAAAGGATGAGTGCGCTCGTTTTCCAATTAAACGTTATCTGCATGCAGCGTTGCAGCCTGAGAGTGTGTGTGCGCTCCCTGGATGCTACTCCGTGTTGCCGTCCGCCATTATAATTGGACACAGAAGACTATCTCAGCTCTGCATACAATGCTGCTGTTATACTGACAGAGCAGTGTGTGTGTGTGTGTGTGTGGAAATTAATTTCCAAAATGCTGCTTTCCTTTATAGTAAGTGTGTGTTTCGTGCACACGCCGTTCCACCAGTACGTGGGCGCAGGGTAAGGCCGAGGGTCAAAATTTGTTCTCGTGCAGAACAGAGCTTTCCCTTCAACACCCACAATGCAGTAGGGGGATTTTGCATTTGTCTGCAAGGCACTGACTGGCCAATGAGATCTCTCGATGCTGCCGTGTCAGCATTCCTGTCATACCAGCCAGGGCGAGGAAGAGAGCGGAAAACTCGGGTCATAAACTGGAAATGTCTAATCCCGTATGACAGGTTGTGCACAACATTAATATTTAATTATCTTTTAGCACTGTTTCTGTGGTGAATTTTAAATCTTGCGGTAACCTCAGTGAAATTATTCATCTTCTGTTCCAAATAACTCTTTATTCCCGCAGCCACTAACAAGTAAGGCATGTATTGCTTTGCTCCATTAAGGCGTATGCACTGCCATGAACAGGGTCGAATGGTAAGAGGTATAAAAAAAGTTGTAAAGCAAATAACAATTCAAAAACCTTGTGCTGCTTCCCACAGTGTGCTCTAGTAATTCCGAATGAGAGATGCCTCACCACTGTGTTACAATGCAGCTGGTTTCAGACAGAGGGGGAAAAGAGGTGCTGCAGTATGTGAACATGTGACCGTAGGGACTAAATACTGATACGAACCTGAGGGTTTGAAGACTAGGGCCCCTTTAATAAGGTGTTGTCCTGTGTGCACAGTGTAGGAACAGGGGTATCTGACAGTGTTCTACCTTCCACTGAGCCAGCAGGTTGCGGGCTGCGTCCGGCTGCTCCTGCATCCTCTCCTTGTTGGTGGCGCCGATCAGCACGTTGCAGGTGGTCTCCGCCTCCGTCAGCCAGTTGAGGAACTTCTCCAGGTTGAGGTAGAACTGCTGCAGCAGCTTCAGAGCTTCCTCGACAGCCACCTCTCTGTCCGAGACACTGCAGAAACAGGACAGAATGTCACCAAGGTAGACTACGTGCACTAACAGGCACAAGTGGCTCACTCCACATCGATTTTCTTTTTCTTTGAGAAGTTGTAGAGAGATGTTTTGTACAGGCAGTGTGTGTCTCGTTACCGCTTGGTGATGTGTGTCCAAGTGGCCATCATGTTGTCGTTGACCTGGGTGACCTTGTGCGTGTCATCGTTGGCGTACAGCGTGAGCAGTTTGTCAGCCAGAGCGTTGGTTTCCTCCACCTGCCTCTGCCACTGCTGCAGCTCCCTCACAAAGGACTGTGAACCATATGAGGGAAGAAGAAAATACAAACTGAAACAATTCTGAAAGGCGATGATTCACCCTCGCCATATAAATGTCTTTTGAGTCATCCCCTGTGTGAGTAGTATCATATTTTTCAGCCATCTGTTTATGAATCTCACTTGATTCAAGGTGAAAAACTGTGTGTGTGCATCTAGATTATTTTTTGCTCATTTAGAAACACGTTTGAGACCTTCAGTTCAGAGTTTTGTCTCTTCAGCGCCTCCACCGTGTACGTGATCTCCTGCCAGGACTCCAGCCTCTCACTGGCCAGCTTGATGAAATGGTCAGCTTCCTTTTTGGCATCCAGCCAATCGGTGGAGTCCTGCAGCATGTTGTGGAGCTGCTTCGTCCTGTCCGAGAGTTTGGTCTGGGAGTCTTCCCAGTGAGCCTGAAGCCTGTCCACTACGATGACAGAAAGAGAATGGCAAAGCTTGTTTTTATGAAAATTACGATGAGAATGAGTAAGATTGTGCTTTTCTTTTTTTTGTCTCATTACTTTGATTTTGAAGAATATATTTTACATGAGACTTATGTGTGTATTCTCTCTGTGTGTGTGTGTGTGTGTGTGTGTGTGTGTGTGTGTGTGTGTGTGTGTGTGTGTGTGTGTGTGTGTGTGTGTGTGTGTGTGTGTGTGTGTGTGTGTGTGTGTGTGTGCATACTGCGTTCAGTGATAGCGTTGCGGGTGTCCTGGTTGCTGGTTTTGTTCTTCAGGTTCTGAGCTGCTGTGACCTGTCTCTCCAGAAGTGGGCGACGCTGGTCCATCTCTTGCAGGGACAACTAAAAAACACATGATCATTATTTGTAACTTATTTGGTTATAGAGTGGTGGAGGTGAAGTATTTTTGTAGGCGACAGAGACATTAGCATCGAAAGGGTTCCCTCGACAAAAAGACAACGTATTTTTTCTACCTTGAGGCTGCTGATGTTCTCGTTGATGTCCTCCAGGTCGGCCACCACCACCTGCTTGTTCTGCACCATGTTGTCCAGCATTGTCAGCCAATCGGTGAGCTCGGCCCAGGACTTGTTGAACTGAGCCAAAGCTGCAGACTCAGCCTGGGAACTTCCTGTCAGAGTTTCAGCTGGGACAAACGAAAACACAACAGTTTATCCATCAATGCTCTCAACACACAAAGGCATAGACCTCAACTGACACAGCAACTGAAGAAAAACACAGGCTCAAAGTCTTACTGGCTCTTTTGGCTATTAGCAGAGCGGCCATCCTCTCCTTATGCTGCCGCACCAGCTCCAGGATCACAGACCAGTCTTCCCTGAGCTTCACATACCTCACCTGTCACAACACAAACCAAAATGAAGAACAAGGGGTTGGCGATAATGGACTTTCACAGATAAACATTGAACAGATGCAATCAAAGGCTTTTATTTTGATATGGCAACTTCACACATATATGCCACAAACATGTTCGTCACCTTGTCTTGTTGGTTGGGAGGATTCTCCTTGAACAGTTGATCGGCTCGCTCCAGAACTGCCTCTACCTCTGGCTGCTTCACCTGCACTTGCTCAACGAGCTGGAGAAACAACAGACAGTTAGAATAGAACGTTTGACTCAAAAGGACTCAAATGTATTTTTGTGTGTGTGTCCTACCCGGGGCTCATCAGGGCTTTGCTCCAGCTTGGCTCTGGTGATGGAGGCCCAGGCTGACAGGCCGTCCAGCTGACCCTGGAGCTGCTCCAGCTCCCTCAGCAGAGCCTCGATCTCCAGCTGACGCTCTGGCAGAGCCTTAGACACCTACACAAAGACAGGATGGGTTTTATTCAGGGATAGCTTTGCCATATGTTTGCCTCTAAATTCTCTTAAATGTTTACCAGCTAGTCTCTAACTGATATGATTCTAGCTTGCTGCTGCTTTGTTCTGATCAGCTACATATGAACAAAACACTGTTGTGCTGTTAGCTGTGGTTTCCCCAGTGACGGCTGCTGACCTGAGCCCAGCGACTGTTGATGACCCTGACGTCGTTCTGTCTGTCAGCAGGAAGTGTTATCTGCCTCTGCTTCATGTTCAGATCCTCCATCAGCGCACTCCTGGCAGGAAGCTCCTCTACGCGTGCCTGACACACACACACAGAGTGAATTCAGTAAGAAACCATTGCAGCCGCTTAAAGTAGGACACAGCTCTTCCAATCTAATTATGTAAACACAAACACACCAACAAATAAGGTTGGATTTCAGAATGAAACATTATAGCATCTAATTTGAAACCATCATACGCTTTGAAATTAAATTAACACACATGTTTTAAAGGCTTGGTGTAGTAATAAAGAGCTGAATCTCATTTACACTATGACGGCAGCTAAATTGAATTACGCTGATCGTCACACCCACACACACAGCTCAGCGGCTCATTATAAATGCTGTGTTGTGTCCTGATGCTACCTGGACTTTCCCCAGAGTGTCTCTGATGTGCTGAGGCTCGGCGGGCTGCAGCGGGATGGCCAGGACCCCCTCCGCTTTATCCAGCCAGCCCAGCATGGAGCCCATGTTCTCCTGCAGCCCCGCCGTCGCCGAGCGGGCCTCTGCAGACCTGCAGGGG